TTCTTAAAACAAGTGAAAAATGTGAAAGATGGATCCAGGGTTTTAAATGATACCCTAGGTCTTATATATATATAACCAAGAGATGAAGTCATATTTAACCATAAGGGTGTTAATGGACTGGTTTTGGATTGGATTCAATCTCATCTAAACCTTATTAGATTGGATTTGAGCGGTCCGTTATAATTATTTGATTGGGGCCATTGGGCCAATCCAAAATAAATTAGTCCAAATTCTTATCGGTTTGATCGGACCTAAATCAAATTCCTAATAATTCAACCATGAGGCCAAACTCTTATCCAATTTGAAACTGATCAAAACTGAAGTCGGCATAAAAATACTTTTACGAAAGCACTTTTATAAAAAGTGATTTTGTGAAAAGTACTTCTATGAAAGTAAGTAATTTTACACGAAAGAACTTTTACAAAAGCACTTTTATAAAAATAATATTATGAAAAGTACTTTTATGAAGCACTTTTATAAAACTACTTTTACATGAAAACACTTTTATAAAAGCACATACTTTTACGAAAGTACTTTTATAAAAGTACTTTGTAGAAGTATTTTAATAAAAGTACTTTTACGAAAGCACTTTTATTAAATTAGTTTTCTAAAAGCAATTTTATGAAAGTACTTTTGTACTTTTTTCATTCACTTTGGGTTGAATTAGACCCAATCCAATCCATTTACATTTTAATTGGATTGAATTGGATTGTAGCAAGTAGTGTAGTTTTTTTATATATTTTATAAATTTTTCATGTTATTTTTGGTATTTGATTCAATTTGGATTTGATTGGACCCAATCTAGTCCATTTACATTTTATTTGGACTAGACTGGACTTGGTTTGTATGGATTTGGATTGGATTTGGTCCAATCCATTTGAAAATGGATCAAATTGGACCAAATACAGTCCTATTTAACCAACAAGCCTGACCCAAGCTGCATCATAAGAAGAGTAATGTATTTCTTGGATTCTTGAAGTGTGCAAAGAAAAGTGGGTGAGAGGCAATCATCCAATTCTCTAAGAGCCCGTTTGGTTTGTAGGAATAGGGGTCTAGCATTGGAATCAGAATAGCACATTCCAATTCCAAATGTTTAGTTGGGAAAAATCGGAATCTTATTCTTGTTCTTGCTGGATTGACATTCCCCTATTTGACAGAATGACCATTCCCTCCAGCTCCCTTTGGAATGAAATCCCATTTCAATTGCAAACCAAACCCTAAGATTTATAACCCTATTGTTGATGGTGTATTTACCTCTAAGGTAGGAACCTGGATCTCCTACACTCGGTGTTTGGGTCAACCTCTTATTCTCATGTAAACAGGGAGGATAATTCAGGCCCTGTTTGGCAAATTCCGTGAGAATGTTTCATGCGTTCTCGATGTTCTTACAGAGCAGAAATGTGTTTGGTACAAGAAAAAAAAAGTGTTCTCGCATGTGAACAACACCCAAAAGGAGTGAAAAATCAATGGTCCCAAAGAACGTGTTCCTAGGAAACGCACGGTTCCCATGATGTTAACCCCTATTAACGAACACATGTTAGCGACTCCCACGTGAGAGAAGGGGTATTTTGGGTATTTTGCACTAAATGATAGAAAAAAACCCTACCAAACATTTTTGTTCGATAGTGAACTCCAACTTGCCACTATAAATCTCAGAGGAAGGAGGAACTTCCTTGGCTTCGAATAGCGAGCGAACGGTAGAAAGCACCGATGACATTTCCAACCAGGAACGCGCCAACAAGTATGTTGTCTCGTCACTGTACCTAGTTTTGTATTGTGTGCTTTGTTTTAAACTCACATTTTCTTCGACCAGATTCACCCGAATTCATTTTTGCTCCCACTGCAAAGATGAGTGTTAAACAATCTCTAACGATGCGATTTGAAATCGTTTTTCTTATATTATTTTGTTTGCATTTGTTATATGTTATGCCGAATGAGTGTAATTTCTCCTCTAATCCCATCAATGATCATATGTTATGCTGAATGGGTGGGGTTTCTTCTTTATCCCATCGTTGTATTTTGTTATGTCTTTTGTTATATGTTGAATATCATGAAGATTGTCCTTTGTTATGTGTTATGAACCTTTGTAAAACTGATGTTAAGAAATAGTTTCATTATCTAAACGTTATTTCTGTACCTATAGAATAAAAATTTGTTCTGGAAAAACAATTTGCCAAACGTATATATTAATCCTAAAGAGCAAAAAAATAAAATTCTTATTCTAAAATAGAAATTTTTAAAAGAACAAGAACATGTGAGAATTTCTAAAAAAATAAAAACATATGGAAATATTGCCAAACAGGACCTCAACTGCTCATACTATTGATCTCATACATCCTTTTTACTCTTGGATCAATACTCCCGCTGAATTTTATTCCATTAACTCTACTCTGGGGTCACTAGTAATTGAGATTGGTTAAATGGAATTTGGCTTTGGCCTTGAAAAGAACGAAAGAAAGAAAAAGAAAATCCTTTAGTAATCCCAAAATGTTGCAGGCCACGTGGATAGAGGGCACGACAAGCTAAACACGTGGATTTGATCTAGCACTCAACGTTCAGCTAGTCTGCCTGCTTGTTGAAGATAGTGTTCATTTCAGTTGAACCGGTTCAGACCAGTCAACCTGGTTCAAACGTCAAACAGGTCAAATCAGTTCGGCTTCAAGGACTGATGCTCTTCTAACACCATTGGCTCACTAAGGCCCAACCCAATTCTCATTTAAACAAAAGAGGAAAAAAAGGGTAGAAGCCCATTTCGGCTTAACTATTAAGACCTAAACTTCAGTGGTTCAATACAAAAGATTCATGGACCACCATCATCATCCAAGCCTTTAATCTGGGGTTGCCAACCGAGTACCGACGGAGTGGCTCAGTTGGTATTAGACCTGTTCATGGGCCAGGTAGTCCGATGGCTCAGCTTGGCCTGGCCCGATCTAAGTTAGGCTTGGACAAGATTTCGTGCCCGTGAGCTCAAACTCGGGTTTAAACTATTAGGCCCGACCTTTTTTCAGATTAGGCTTGCTTTTTCAAAAAGCCCAACTTGAATATGTATTATATTAATAAAAATATATTTTATATAATAAAAAAGCATATATAATATATATTTTTTATTTTTCTTCTCTTTTTCAAGTAATAATGAGATCTTTCATTATTTTTTAGGTTTTGAGGTCTTTTAATATAAATAAAACAATTTTTAATTAAATTAAAAAAAAGAAAAATCTTTTTTTCAAATTTCTGGCTGGGATTGGGCTCGGGCTCAGGCCTAAACATATTCTGTTAATGTAGAGGAAAAATCCAACCCGTGTACAGGTCTAATTGATATGCTAACTAGTTTACTCCAGTGATTCCTACAACTTCCTACTTTGGGGCGGGGGAGTATTAATATGGTGCGCATCATCAAATACCAAAAAAAAAAATCCTGTGGGGATGGCTACACGAATCCTGTTTCGCCACTCTAATTCCGCGCTGTTCAAATGAATCACCCAGATATACCACTCAAAAATTACTATAAATAGAAAATATGTTTATAAAGAGCTACCTTCATGTAAGGCATCAATTGGTCCGGGTCTGGTCCAATTTGAGTCCATTACAGTGGATCAGGTCCAATCCGATCCGATGAATACTACGGACCATTTTGGACCTGTCCAATTCTTTGTCTGAACAGTCCAATCTGTTCAAATTGGTTTTAATTTAGATTGGTTCCAACTCAAGCCTTATCTATTGACACCTGTATGTTTATCTTCTATTAATAGAGTGGATATTGGTTCAATCCGGTTCAGTCTAATATAAATCCATTATTGATGGACCAGATCCAATCTAATCTAATGAATATTTTGAATCATTAACTCTAGACTAGTCTAATCCAATATGTCTTATTGGTCTGTCCAATCCATCTAAATTGATTTTAATGAATCCAACCCAAAACTGATCTATTGACACCCCTACCCTCGTGTCAGGTCTTAGATGTTGCAATTGTAAATTGAAAGCTAAGTTCATCTCCTACCCAAAACTGAGCTATTGCAATTAAATATGAGAATGTTACGAGAAAATCTTGGATTGATAAATATGAGAACACAGGTTCAAGTCTAAGAGCAACCACGTTGTACTAAGAAATGCCAAGGGCACGTTAGGTTTATATCCAATCCACTCTATAGCTGGGACTTGGGAGTACGGGTGTTTATGGGCTGGGCCGGGCCAGGTTTTACTTATATAAGGGCTTTAGCCTAGGCCCACGCCCAGCCCAACCTAGATTCTGGGCCTAAAACATAAGTCCTGGCCGGGCTTATATGGATCCCGGCTGTGTGTGATTCCGAGACTACATCTTCTATATATGATCCTAACAGATGATCTCTTGATCAGGTGGGAAACAGTTCAAGCTCTGGGCCTGGTCTTAAAACACTGGAATGTCCTATTCAATTCAAGCCGCGATCTCTTTGCAGCCTTACTTTGGAGGGTTAGGCTGCATATGGACCTACCCTTTTAGCATTTCTATTTTACACAAAGTGGTCTCTCTCAGGCTACACTAGTCAGCCCAAGTTTTACCACCTAGTGGGGAGAGTTGGTGATATAAAATGTTAAAATCTTCTGAAAATAGCCATTTAGAGATCCTGCGTTGATCATATCTCCTCCTTTTTCAACCAAGTTATAATTCTAATAGAGGTTATTGTAATTTTTTTCTTATTTATTCAAACTGATGCTTACTTCTTGAAAATTTCAAACCCTCTATGCATAAGGTGAAGCTTCAATAATTCGGTGGGCTGCTGGGCCAAGAATTTAGCTTTCTTGTTCTGGGCTAGTAATGAAGCCACTTCTCTTTAAGTAATTGTGGTTGTCTGGTTGATTTAGGAAGAATTATTATTTGTGCATGAATTTCACACCAAGCGGGTAATCACCATCTCCTCTGTAGTCATTCAACAGAACTGGGCTATCTGGTGTTCCTTTTTTACGTATTTTACTAATTATTATTATCTTTTTACATATTATTCCATTTTTCACATAGTAGGTAGCTCAAAGTGCAACACTTTATTCATCAGTACAAAATGCATAAATGAATCATCAATCACACGGCTGGTCTGGCATTGTAGTGTAGGCCTTCAAAAGAGGGATATGGCCTATGTATGAGAGATAATCAACAAAGCACAGTCCAAAATCTTAGGGATATTAGCCTACTATTAGTAGCATCATCTAGAACATGAAAGCTACGGCCATGGGCAAGAAAGTTGCAGAGAAGCCAGCTACAGAGAGGGATATTGGGGCAGAGCTGGGGGTAGGGGTTGTTCCTCCTGCTGTGGGGGCTGGAGCTGTGGTTGGGCCGTTTGATGGAGGGCTAGCTATGCTGGATGGTGGAGTTCTTGCGGTGGTGCTGGATGGTGGCGGAGTGGCGGTGGTGGTGGAAGCTGTGACGTTGATGGCCAGCTTTTGACCCAACGCGCAGTGCTGGCTGAATGTGCAGATGTAGAAGTGTTGGCCCACTGAGGTGAGGCTGAGTCTGGCCGGGCCATTGCTTTGAACGGGACCGATAGTGCTGCTGGCATCACAGTTGTCGAAAGCTGTTTTGGTAACTTCCGCCACGTCGTGTTGCGCAGTGGTGAAGTTGAACACTACAGAAACATTGTGGAGGAGGAATCAGATTGGAGATTGATTCACTGAAAACCATAGTATCTATCTATCTAATTAATTAATTGTTCAGCCAAAGGTCAGAAGAATAAGACCCATTAAAGATAAGAGAGGTAAGAATCTTACGGAGAGTGTCCCCGACCATGAAGGTCTTCTCAGAAGCCCAAGTGGAGTATGCAATAGAGCCGCCTGGAGGGACAAGCCAACCTAAACTGTCTCCGACCACGTAAGTTGCCGGTGATCTGGAAGGGGTGGGAGCAGGAGCCGTAGCGGCAGTGACGTTAATGGCCAACTTTTGGCCTAACGCGCAGTGCTGGATGAAGGTGCAGATGTAGAAGTGCTCGCCTGTGGAATTGAGGATGATTCTCACAGGGCTGGTCGATTGAACGGAGCCGATAGGGCTGCTGCTATTGCAGGAATCGAATGCTTCCTTTGTCACTTGGGCCACGTCGTGCACTCCACTGGTGAAGTTGAATTCTGCAACAAGTACAGAGTCAGAAACGTATTTGATCAAACAAATTAAGGATTTATGTTTGTAATCTCGTTTCTTTTAAGCATACCCAGAATGTCTCCAACCCTGAAGGTGCGGGTGGACGCCCAAGTAGAGTAGGCAATGGAACCGCCGGGAGGAATCGTCCAACCCAAGGTGTCTCCGACTACATGGGTCGTCTGTGCCGCTGCAGATTGTAGCAGAAGGCCGGTAACAGCAACAAGAATGCAAGCAAATAAGCCCACGCGAGTAGCCATATCTCCCTTCCCCTGCCCCTCTGTGTTCAAATTGGTCAGGTCGCCCCTGCTCTGTTTGTGTCTGTCTCTTCAAACTTTCCTCAGAGATGGCTGAGTGGTAATGGGAGGCTGGTTCCTTTCTATTTATAGGCTTTGTTTGAAACTTGTGAAGGCGGAAGGCCGGCTCCTTTCTTCCTGATTCATTATAAGGTTTAATTTTTTACACTTTCATCAACAGAATTGAATTAAATCTTTTTGACCTAAACACGGCTTTGCTATATATGAATCTCGGCGTAATATTTGGACTTTCAGAGTGTTCGTTCAACAAAGGCTCGTAAGATCTACTTTCTTGACTGACTTCAATGGTTGATAGGTTATGGGCGTTGCATCGGTTATAAGAGTGTGGCCTACCGCAGCAGAAGACGGAAATCACTGGTTTTTTATGTCATAAGAGCCCTTCTATATGGAAGCTGAAATTTCTCTGTTCTGTCCAAATGAGGAGACTCAGACTGCATGGAGGTCTTTTTTGCTTTATTTAAAAACTTTTGAGCTGAGAATCAAGATCCCCCATAAATGAAAATGTAGGCTTTTTCTAAGGGAGGTTTTTGCTTACAAGCCTAAGGGTATAGCTCGCAAGTGGATGTATCTAGAAAGGGGTTTAATGGCTCAAGGAGGCTGAAATTTCTCTGAATTGATGTCATAAATGCCTCAATGGCTTGGCTTGAATACTGTAGTAATTCTGTCAATCCAAAATATAGCAGCTACTGCTAGGGGTGTGGCTTAAGTTGAAATCTCCCTCAACTCTTATAGTAGGGGTGTAGATTGGACTGTATTTGGTCCAATCCGATTCAGTCCAGTGTGAATCTATTACAAATAGACCAGGTCAATCTAATTCAATAAATATTTTGGATCATTTTGGAGGTCCAAATTCAATGTTTGGATCATTCAATCTGTTCAAGTTCATTTTTTAATTTAGATCAGTTTTAATTCAAACCTGGTCCATTGGCACCTATATTCTTATCTTATATCAATGGACTAGATATTGGCTCAATTCAACTCAATCCAATATAAATTTATTATGGATGGATCAGATCCAATCCAATCTAATAAAAACTTAGGATCATTAAGTCTGAATTGATTCAATTCAATGTCTTGTTGATCCATCCAATTCATCCAAATTGATTTTGGATTGGATGGGCCCATTGACACCCTTATCGTATAGAACTGAACCAGGCCAAGTACCAAGAGGGGCACGTAAAAAATGGTATTTGGTAGAAAGGGTCGATTTTGCATTTTTTTTTTTTTTTGCTCAAGACAAACCAGGAGGGTAGGTGTGTGTGGACTGTGGACCTCCTAAAGTTCTGTAGTAATGTTATCTCCATAAGCTTATTTTAAAAAGCCTCTGCCTGCCACCACCTCTTTTTTTTAGTCGGAAAAAGATGTTCACACTTCCACCAAAAACGGACTTTTTGGGGTCATTTATTAGAATACCCTCTATTGTTTCAAGGATTTACTTAAAACCTAAGTTAAAATTTTTATTTTACTAAAATACCTCTTATAATTTGCAATATATTTATTTAACTGACCTTTCATTAGTAAGTGTTTGTTTGGCCATCTGAAAGTAGTAACATGATCGCATAAACTAAATGGGAATGTTCAAGATCATCGGCCCATGATTATTTATTGCAAAATTACCTTTAACATTTCTATCTACAAGAAACAAAATTGACCAACCAGAACAAAATAGAGTAGTGGTCCGGTCCGGTCCAAGTCAATCCACAATTGATTGAACCGGTTCGACCAGATTGATCCAGATCTAAGTGGTTCGATTTGAACCTAAGTGGTTCGATCAAACTTAAAATCCGAACATAATCAAATGGCTTCACCGCTTATGTAAAAATAACATACATGTTTGTCTCGATTTTGATTCTATTCAACCTGATCCGAATTCAATCCATTCATAATTGGGTCAAATATGAACCCATCCTTATCCAATCTAAATCAAATTAAATATATAGTTTTTATATACTTAAGATTTATATTGTATATACTAGTAAAATTGGATTGAATTTTGCGTTTTTACTAAATTGTCGTAGGTTCAAATTTCATACAAGTTATTTTCAATTCATTTTGTTTAAGTAAATACAATGACAAAGTTGTTTAGTTATTAGTTTATAATATTTTTATTTTATCTAATTTAATTTATTAATATTATTCAAAATCCCTCGGCAATATATTCGAATCCATTTTGACTTTGGCTCCAATATAATTTTGATGGATAAAATTCAATTTTAATTCGAATTTAAATAAATTTAGATCTATTTATAACCCATTTGATTTGATCTTTTTACGGCCCTTTATTACATATTGCAGTGTCAGTTTATATCTACTGGTTATTACCTATTAGTGCGGGATCCATTGCTGAATCCCCAATAAGAATGAGCCTTCAAGCATGTAAATATAAATCCCGAATAAAAAGCTGTTGGCTTTTGGGTCTCCACGCTCCAATCTAACTCATCTTTTGAGTAAATGGACCCAAGAATGCTAATATTAGCAAATACCACAGCATCGTTTAGCACCTTTGTAGATTCAATTACCTTTGTTGTTTGCTAACTCAAATCTGATCCATCTTGCAAGCTTCATAATCTACATGAAAGTTAAATCTACTAGCATCATACCATATAAAGTTAATACTTAGAGACAGACAGTTGTTCAAATGTTTTAATATTTAAAAAATTATATTTTTTAACATTTAAATCCAATCAATAAATTAAAACTTTTAATACTGTAAAAAATTATAATCTAAATATCTTTTCTTTTTTTTTGGTTTTTACCTTTTTTATATTTTTTGAACACGTGCCCTTAGTGTATTACATTTACTAAAACAATAATAAAAGGGAGAAAATAGAGGGGAAGATACATGATGTTCAAAGATCACTAATTATTTTTAGTTTATTGTTGGATTAAACAATGGTTAATGGTAGTTATGATGAGTTTGAGAATAGGTCTCCCAAAAGAAATGTTACAAAATGTTTTTGTGGGGGAAGAAGTTATAACATTGGGAGAAAGACAAAGAATCACATATTTTAAAGGTTAAAGTCTTAGAGATTAGTAGTTCAACTGTTCAAATGGCACTTATTCAGTAATGGGTTGATAACCTAGGCCAAAATTTTAGCCAGAAATTTTTTATGAGCACGGTTCAAATAGAAGCATTTGCCCAAGAGTCCTGAATCGTGAGTCTATTATGAACTTGGGAGAAACCGATGTGACCCAACACAATACCAATCCAAACTTAACAAAGGATAGACTCTTTGCAACATTCTCAAATTCTAACATCTTGGATCAAATTAAGTTCCTTTCGATTGAAGCCGGTAGGGCTCAATCCAGATCAAAACTTCAAATCAAGGTTTTTAAAACTGACCCGGACAATGAACTGGTCAGGGGTTCGGTTCTCGAATTGAATTGTTGATTCGTTTTGATAAAAAAATAAAAAAAATTAAAAAATGGTCAAAGCCATACATCAAACGATTCAACCATGTGGATCAATGATTTACTGATCAAATTTAATATTTTTTTTGACAAAAATCTGATTTTGAGGAAAAACAAAATCGGTCATCTGACCGATTTCCAGTTTTTTCAGTTTGACCATCCGATCCAGTCTGGTTTTGAAAACCATGCTTCAAATGAAATTAAAATGATCATTCTGTTTCAATGCTTGCAACAAGTTTCAAAGCCAATTGAAACTTTGATCAGTTGAAAAGCAAATGAAAATAAAGTGAAAGGATACTCGTGAATAGATGGACTAGATCAGCCTGTTAACCAATAGGCCTGGGAGGACCGGAACATATTTTGAGTTCTCGCCAACTCCAACAAATAAACAAAAGTAAACCCGTTCAGACAACACTCTGAATTACATCACCTGGGTCACCATTTCACTTAGTCTAAGTACAGTTTGTGGCTTCTAATTTTCTATACGTAGAACTAACAAAGATAGTCATCTATACTATCTCCATATCTTTCACACCAAACTCTGAATCGACATATGGCCGAGGTTGTCCTTCTTAGGCTAGAACTGTAGTTTGGAACCTCTCGGCCAGGTTTCATTCTGGGGTTGGTGTTCTATCATCTATGCATGTTTTCTTTGTGTGGAAAGGCTACAATTAAAACTGAAGTTCCAATTCAGAGGTTTTATTCTAAGGGCCTGTTCGTTTTTTAGATTTTGACAGTGGGGGAATTTGGTCAATGAAATTTTGGTTCTCATTATTAAGATATTTATATTCTTTTCTTATATTTATGTGGGGTTTAAAAAATTTATTTTCTCTGCTTATCCATCTCTCACGTGAATAAGTAAGTTTTTCACCTGGGAGAAGTTATTGATCACTTGATGGGATAAAATTGTCCATTTTAATGGTTTTTTATAGTTAAAATGGTTATTCTCTTATTTGACTGGAAAATAAAAGAATATAGGTAAATGTATTTATTCGATTAAATATTTTTCAAGAAACACTTATCCAAATAAATGCATTTACTCCGTATAAGTGACTTCCCAAAAAATTAGAGAAAAATCACTGGACATGAATCTAATTTCTCTCCCATCCAATTAGAGAGAAATCACTGGTGCTACGTCTTATGGACTTGACTTCTAAGTTCTAACAGGGTTTGCTTTATCCCTGGTAGTTGAGTCTCTTCTAAGCCGGTTTTTTTTTCCCCATTAATTGAGTTGAAACCTGAATCCTTGATAAGTGAATGAAGGAAAGAAGGGGTGTGTAAAGTGAAAAGAGAAAGGAGAGAGTCCCAAATCTCTCAAGTCGTTTAACAATCACCACCACAAGCTAATGATGTGATCCGAAACTTCCTGTGAATTCAATCAATACGGCTTGGAACGCGGCATTAATGCTCGGTTGAACTTCCAGAAGTTCCTCCTTTTCTTGTTGAGAATAAAAAAAAAAAAAAAAAAAAAACATTTTCTACAAGAAAGATGAGTAAAAATGAATAAAAAAACGATGACTTTCTAGAGTCTGAAGGACCTTTTTTTTTTTCTGTTTTGTCCAAAGAGACGACGAGAGCAGACAAAGCCACAATTTTCCTCCACTTCTTTTGTCACACGACAAAGATCGAACGAGTGTGGTAGGCGCAGGGGAGAGGAATTGAAGGTACAAGCGTACAACTTTGCATGGTGCAATTTCAACCTAACCAGCCCAACTAGATTGGGTTTGATCTAGATACTTTGGACCTAATCTTGGTTTGGATTGGGATTTGTTTAGAGCTCTACGAATCTGATCCAGCCTGAGCTCCATTTCTTTCATAATCATATCTATTTTTGTTATATTTCTTCCCGTAGCAAAGTTTTGAAGAACCCATGTAAGATTTTTCCTCTTGAAGCTCAAGGTATGTGTTTTAAGCCCATATTATTATGACCATGCCCAACCAGGTAAGCTCCGTGGGCCATGACAATAGTGCTTTGGTTGAAAAATATAAGGCCTTGGGAAGAATAGGCAACCCTAGAGCAATGTTTCCAACCATTCTTGGACCTGATAGTTGGTGGGTGACCCGGTCACAATTCCGGTTTGGGTGAATTTTTAATCCGATATATTATACAAATTTGTTGTATCTGTCCACATTCCATTGACCTGGGCAATTGAACCATTGACCCATCAAACCCATTGAGAACTTGACTGGGGACATCCAGATTGTTGGTAGGATTTAGGACAACTGAGATTGATCCTGAACTGAACCAATCTGCCTAGGTTGAATTGCATATTATAAGCATGAATCAATTACTAAGTTAAGCACCCTGGATATGACACTAAATAAAACAGAATGATGAAACAGGAATCTCGTAGTTGACCTAATATAGTTGGGACAAGGCGTAGATGATGATGAAATATGAATCAATTACAAAATACAGAATTTAGATTTCATCCTCTCACTGTACTCACAGCTCTTATAGTTGCGCATTGAGAATATCTCCCACAAATAAAAATGTACAAATGTAGAGATGTTCTCAATGCACGGAAGCAAGGGCTGTGTGAGGACGAAATCCAAGATCCAAAATACGAAGGACACCCTTTTCAAGCTCCTATCAGTATGCATCTAAAACAAGCTTTTGGTTGAAGGCTCAACTGCCCTCCGCCCAGGAGAGTATGGTCAGAAATGAAGGCAAATCAGTGATGATGACGACCATCCAGCCTGTAGGAGTTGTTATATATGTTCTCATTGACTAMCCAGAAGATGATTGGAGATATCTTTTGTGGAATCCAGTGGCCGGAGAGTCCCAGTCATGAAACGTTGCCTTGAGTCTTCTTCCCCCACCAATGCGGTCGGTCCCCTGAAATGTAAAAACGACAAGAAGATTGAGAAATGCGACCTTTTTGGATAATATTTTACTTTCAGACTTTGTGACGTGACAAGATAAATCAACAAAAAATATGCAGCCCATGTGAATACATAGCTCAATATCACCAATCCTATTTTGTTCACCCAAAAAAAAACTATTCTTTATAGATAAATTCCTAAAATCTCCTTGAACTATGAGGTGTCTTTTTTCCACTTGAACTATAAAATGTTTCTACCCTCCAAACTTCGACAATTGTATCAAATAACCACCTCCGTTAGCCTTCGTMGGAGGAAATAGACAGAAAATTGTCATGTGTGCATCATATCATATTATCATATAACCTGATGGTGTGCGATTTAGATACTCCTAACTGGAAGATCATCCGAATTTCAGTTGTGCGGCGAGTTGGATCAATCTGCAAAATAGTAGACCAGAGAATCCGGGGTAGCTAACTCGATGAGGTCACTCTGATGCTTAAGTCAGTACTATACTGTGGATGCAAGCTGAATACTTAAGTGCTTGAATGCTAGTGAGTAAAATAATCACGCGTACCTTTGCCTTGGGGTTTTGTGTCTTTATATAATGGAGTAGTCGTGGGCCTTACGAAAGAGCTCCGGGATCTCTGGGCTGTGCAGATAAGATCTGTTCCGTTTTTGAAGGAGAGCAATGTGTTGATAAGGTTTATCGTCTACCTCTGATTCAGGCAGAGCTAGGATGAGTCTCGTCGTGATTCGAGAAATTCGGTGTCCATTGGGAAGGCCTTTCGAATCGATTACGTGGTGTTTCGGCTCTCTAGCTCCGAACTGGTACTTTGGTTCTTTAGTCTCGAACCGGATTGGGTGTCGAGGTGTCTCTATGCCGAGGTGGTTTTTGGGCCGAGGTGGCTAAACACCCGAGCTCCGAATGCTACGGGCCGGGTTCGTTTGGCTGAGTTGTCACCCCTCGAGCAGATCGCGTTTACATGTCCCCTTCTTGCTAGGTCGTGCCAAATCACCCTTCATCAATTGCCCTCCACTCCCCGTGCCAGGGGTCCTGACTCGGTGCGGGGAGTTCATGACGAGTCCAGGTGGGTTTGGCACGAAGTCTAGGCAACTTGAAGGGCGAATCACTGGTCGGACCTGTTCAATCATCTGGCTCAACCACGAAATGACCTAGATCACGTCTCGGTCACGTGTGGATGTCACACTGTTTATAAATTCCACGGACGCCAAAGAGCGCGCTCAACCAATTTTGTCCTCGGGTAGCGTGCAGCCAGTTTTCATGGGAGTCGTCGGATCGTACAGATCTCAACCGTTGATTGCCAAATGTGGTGGACTATAAATAGGGGACCGAAGGGCCCATTTCCTTCGCCATAAGTCGTGTAACTGAGCTTTCCTGATATCGCGTCGAAGTCTTTCAGCTCGCCATTTTTTCCCTTGTGTCCGAGGTTGTTATCGTCTTCTTTCACTAGTTGTTCCCTTTTCCTGTCCAATATGTCTAGTGCTAGCATAGATAGGATACTTAGTGACTCTAGCGAGCCCGGGGTGCCAAGGTGCGGTCCTCAGCTCCCATCGGTGAGGCTAGCTCTTCGCTAGAGAGCTCCTCTTTAAACCTTTTAGGAGAAATGCCTTTACCTGATGTCGGGCCATCTAGGCTTGAGGAACCCGAGCCCCAAGTAGAGCGGTCAACCTCCGAAGAGGGGGTCTCGTCATCTACTCGAGGTCAGGATCCGGAAAACTTCGGCCCTTCAACGATGACCTCGGACAGATTGTTGTCCTTGATAGCTCGTTGCCATCTCCCCAACACTCTTGCTTTCAGCATTCCTTTGGGTCAGTACCCTTGGGTTTACGATCATTACAAACTTGCAGTTTTTGAGGAGCAGCTCGTAGCTGGGCTGCGCTTCCCGCTCCACCCCTTCATCATAGAAATCATTAAGTTCTTTAACGTCACCATTGACCAGCTACACTCGAACTCCATCCGTACCATTGTTGGTATGGTCTCACTTTTCCACGAGTATAACTGACCTCTTACTTTAGACATCTTTAGTTTGATTTGTTCCATTAAAAAGAACTCTTCTTGCTTGCATGGGGACACCCAGCAAAGCTACTATATCTCACCTCGCCCCGGGTTCAAGGTCCTGTTTGGTAACCCGAACAAGATATCGTCCTGGAAGAGGAGGTAATTCTTTATTCGGAACCCTGAAGGATGGTCATTCCCGACTCACTGGCGAGTGGCCATTAAGGACCCAGGGGTGAGGCTGGATGCAGAGGCTAGGGCGGTCATCTACTCTTGGAGGACCTCGGCCTTGAGATGGAAGATTTCTTGGCCAAGGAGAAGCTTGTACGAGCTGGGTTGAGTCCTCCTAGTAGGCCTCCACCTTGGCACACACATTACCTCTCATTTTTCCTTTCCGCACTTACTTCAGTTTGCAGCTAACTCTTTTTCTTCTCTCTTGCAGAAGCTATGACAGGTGTTGACGCCGCTAACCTTTTGAGGAGTGTTCAAAGGGGGAAGAAGAGAAAGACTTTGAAGAGGTCCCGTAGAGAGGAGGCCACCTCTTTGGTTCCTGCATCCCGAGGTCGCAGCACCAGAGCCACCATCTACCAAGCTCCCAGGGGAGGAGGTTCGTCCCCAGCCCCCGGTTGTTGACTTGGACGAGGCTCAGGATGAGGGGACCCCACCTTGCGAGCCCGAAGGTACTTCGGTGCCCAAGCCTCAGCCCCCTTCAGCAAGGGAGAGCATAATGACTCCAAGGCTCGGGCTCCTTAAGAGCAAGGATGTCGTGTTTCCTGCGGAGGTCGCGGAGTGGGCTGACATGCCAACAAGCCAGTTCGGAGGGAGGGCAGCCTCCTACTATATGGTGGTAAGTAACCTGCCCCTTCATTTACTTTCTTATTCTTCTGTCAATGACACTTATGCTTGCTTTCTATTTTTTAGGTGAGATCCGCTATCCACTCGCTCGTCTACAAATTTGAGATCTGCTTGAAGCGAGCTCGGGAGGCCGAAGAGAATGCTCGAAAGCTTTACTGCGATCTGGATTTAGCTCAGGGTGAAGTTCTTAGAGTCAAGAATGGAGCTCGGAGCCAGGAGGAGCTAATCTTGTATCAAATAACCGCACCGAGATCTTCGACACCGCCATTCAAGAGGCGAGGATTCAAGAAAGAGATCGTGCCACCAAGGAGTTCAAGGAGTCCCCTGAGTTTCACGACCTCTAGGTCGAGTATGGCTCTGGCTCGTAACGGTCGGACTTCAAGCTTTGCAAGTGGTTGATGCGCCAGAAGTTTCCCGAGCTCAACTTCGGATCTGTCTCCATGTCCACTGTTTCTCCTAAGATGGCAAAGGAGGATGACGAGGAACCTGACTCTTCTGAGGGAGAAAGCGATGACGAACTTCTCGAGGCGAGACCGTCAGGGGAGGCAGGCTGAGATGACATGGAGGAGGATCACATGGAGATCGACCCGCCTGCTGGAGGGGATTCTGGTAGATCTGATGTTTAAACATGCCTCTTTTCTTGGACCCCCCCCCCATATAGTGTATGTCCCGGGCCTCTGAGCCCGGTTATAGTAAGCATGTACTCGGAACCTTTATATTAATGAAATATAATGATTCAAAAAATCTTGTGCATAATCTTTCTAAAAATTTTCTAAGTGTTGGTTATCCCGAAGTGCCAGACTAACAAGATGGACTCCAGGTGGGATTAACCTTACGTTGTTGTACGCCGAGGTGGATAGACACTGTAGGGTATGCACCCGACCTGTCTATGTACGGGCTACTTTGAAAGAATGGTAGGATCCATCTAATGGACGCCATAAAGGTTGCGGAATGGGTGGGGCGAATTTCAAAAATTTCCTACCTTCTCCCAACTGGGAATCATATTCCCTGAATTTAGAATACAATATTCAAGGATCTACTTGAACCCTAATCAAACCAGATCTGTACCAAAAGATAAATGGGAGGATTATACCTGATCCGGAGAAGCAGTATCTCC